ATCTACTATATACACAAAATGTGGCTAGCATTTGGTATTGCAAAAGTCGATACATATTTGTATGCCATCAATCAATTCTCACTAACACTACATAAAATAGTTTATGGCAGCTATCGATATGGCAGCGCCATCTATCGTAACGAATTTACATTTGAAACATTTCTATCGACTGGCTACGTCAGAAAGGAAATATTTCATGGCAACTCATCATCCATTGACGTTCTTTCGATGATTTCAACAGATTAGGTTGGTAAAGGCCAAGGCCGGGTACGTGTTATTGAATTTATTACTTCTAAAAACACATGGAATTCACTGGGTCTATGTAAGTTGCAATTGGCTGTAAATACACCATATTCAGTACCACAAGTTCTTATCAACTAACATCGTCCTATCAAATCACCGTACTGGACATAATCTCTATCCTTGAACCGTACTGGCTACACCTCTCACGTACGTCTTTGCCACATTGCCATTGGCAGTCGAGAGGTTCAATTATATATAGGTCCACTGAATTACTAGCCCTACGGCTCTACTAGTACTACTATTAGTACTAGTATCAGTAATACTTTTCTCTAGTCTAAGCCTAAAATGCATGACGTTTCGTGACTTTCGTTGTCCACACATGATTACTGCTGATCTTACTGTGATCACACTATGCCACTAAAAAACATAACAGTGGCATCACATAAATAACAGTCAGTACTACTGCAGATGGGGTCGTTGTCGTATCAAGTATTATGTTTATATTTTTGTATGAGGTACCGTATGTTTAGGGTTAGGGTTAGGGTTAGGGTACACTTCTGTAGTACAAGTCTGGTATACTTTGTGTATACATATATGTACCTCGGGTACATATCTGTAGTACCTGATACGACAACGACCTCTTCAGCGTCAGTACTACTACAGTACTAGCATGTAATGTGATACAAATTGATATATGAATAATAGTATTGGTAATGGTAGTAATTGAACACCTTACATGACCACCTTACATACCACTGACTCACTATGGAAGCTCGGGAAGCTAAGTATAACAAATATTAAAACCTCTAAAAAAACCTTGATACAAGACTCAACGCCCCGCCCCATTCTAATTGAATTAAACAGCAATTGAATAATTGTCGTGTGTTGTTGTAATTCTGCAGCAGCCGTGTGCAACAATGACGTGCTCCATACAGCAGGTGCTGGCAGACGCCAAGCGTCTTGTGACGCAGCTGAGAGAACATGAGGGCAACGCCGACACGCTCATAAATCAGGTAACACAACACTGCCACATGTAAGGCCTGTGTGAGAATATTAACATCGTAATGAGAGAAATGGCCTAAATATTGCAACATCTTTGTATTGACACACATTCTACAGTGAGATATGATGACAGATGCAGTGATATGCACGTGCATTTGTGACGGTTTAACTGAAAATACAGCCTTCTATCCATAAACTTGGCATCATGGCTTTGATCAGAGATGGGTGCTGAATCTGCTGATGCACGCTCTTTTTGTCTTATCGCCAACACTCTTGTATTTTGTCGTCAACATGCTCCTTATCTTTTCTTGCCAACATGCTCACTTGTCTCTCGTTGCTGACACGTTCAATTGTCTCTCTTCGTCGACGCGTTCAATTGTCTCTCTTCGTCGATGCACGCTTACTTGTCTCTCTTCGTCGACGCACGCTCACTTGTCTCTCTTCGTCGATGCATGCTCACTTGTCTCTCTTCGTTGACGCACGCTCATTTGTCTCTCGTCGGCAGGCGCGCAAGCTGAACGGTCGCGTGGACAGCATGCGCATCTACCAGGAGGATGCCGAGGAGGCGGCGGAGGTGGCGCGCAAGCCTCCGCCGCCGCCGCCGCGCTCCACGCTCGTCTTCGGCCTCCAGCAGGAGAACCGACACATCCGCGACCTGCAGCACGAGAACCGCGAACTGCAGCTCGCCCTCGACGACCACCAGGCAGCGCTCGAACTCATCATGAGCAAGTACCGGCGCCAGATCTCGCAGCTGATGGTGCCCCGCGCGACGGCGGCGGAGGCGACGCCCGCCGATGACGCGGCGGCGGAGGTGCGCGAGGAGATCGAGCGTAAGAACGAGCGCATCTGCGAGATGGTGGCGGTGATGAACGCGGCGATACGGGCGGACGACGCGGCGACGCCGGGCGAGATCGAGGCGGTCGCGAGGCTTCGCACGGAGAACCGCGGCCTCCGCGAGATGCTGCGAGCCTGCTCCACGCTGAGCGTCCTCGCCTCGGCCTCCGCCGACGACGACCCACAGGCGGCGGACGCCGACGTGAGCGCGTGCAGCGACGACTCGAACGCAAACACTGTGATGTCACGCAGCGTCATCGAGGTCGACACGTCGGCGACGGTCGCCGGCGGCGACTCGACAGAGGATGATGCACCACGCGAGAGCACGTAATGCATGGTTGCTGTCGGTAACGGGATGGAGGAGGCTGCGCCATGAACGTGGTTGTCATCGCTAACGGGATGGAGGAGGCTGCGCCATGAATGCAGTTGTAATCGGTAACGGGATGGAGGAGGCTGCGCCATGAATGCAGTTGTAATCGGTAACGGGATGGAGGAGGCTGCGCCATGAATGCAGTTGTAATCGGTAACAGGATGAAGGAGGGTGCGCCATGAATGCAGTTGTCATCGGTAACGGGACGAAGGAAATTTGGTGACTCAACGCATGTGATCATAGCGTTATATATCATTTTAGTATTGATGTTATGAATTTTGTCCGGTCATTCAAACGATCAAGCTAGATATTTATTATATTCTTTTTGATGTCGTCAGCCCGTAGTTAGTCCATATAGGCGAATTGTTAAAACTTGTTACTGGCTATATTTAATTGTAATGAACCGAGAACCACACAATTGCATGCACAAGATATAGGAGCAGTTGATATGTGAGATTATTTGATTTGCCTTGGACTTAGAGACCTGGTTGGGAGTTTCCTAAACATGTTGTATGGTAACATATGTTGTGCATCAACAAATTGTTCAATGACATTTTTCTGTTAAAAAGAATGTGACTTACAACAACAACATTGGCATTGAGATTGTATATGCCATTCCAAATTTTCTTCCATTGTACATGATACTGTATTTATTTGAAAGGAAATTTGAGTAATAAAATACACTGATCATAGCCATTTTGCTCGTGTGCAGTTGGTCTTCTACTTATAGCCTATTGTATGTTCTTATTCTTCATTAGAGATTATAACAATGCAGTTCTCTCTCACTCAGCCCACTGCACCACTCACCTTCTCCTTGGCTTCCTGCTCTCGCTGCTGGATCACCATCGCCATGTACTTCTTCATAACAGGATCTATCCCGGCGTCTTCCAGGGGATCCCTAACACCGATCTCTACCTCCTCTACAGCAGCCGGCTCTTCCCTCGCACCACGCCGTAGCTGCGGTTCAGACGATTCGCCACTTCTCTCTGTACGTTCCTCGGCTGGTTCCCCCGCTGTCTGTGCCGGAGGGACCTCCGCACTCTCGTCTGTCTGTGCTTTGCGTAAGTGCACGTCTCTTTCTACCTGTGCCTCGCCCATCTCTGCATTTTTATCAGTCAGTGCCTCATGCACCTCTGCACTTCTCTCTGTCTGTGGCTCATGCATCTCAACACTTTTTTCTGTTTGTGCCTCATGCACCTCCGTCACCTCTCCCACTGCACCTCGCACATCTCCGATACCTCTTATCACGACAGCTGGCGCCACCTGGCTAGCACCGCCCCTATCGTCGACGTCGTCGTCCGTGCGCGCACGCGTCTGCGGAGACGCAGGAGCGTCGCGTCCCTGCGTCGCGTCCGCGTCCGTCTCGCGAGATCCCGTGAAGCCCAGCTCGACCGGAAGACTCCCGATTACCCTCATCAGCCCGTCGCCCGGCGCAGCATCCGTTGGCTCCTCGCGTTTGGCGATCGCCGCGGCAACCGGCGGCGCCTGCGGAGCGACCCCGGTGCGGGTCGCCGTTTTCCCGCGGAATCGCCTCGTCAGATACGTCGCGAACGAGAGCGAGTCGGAATCGGAGTCCGCTTCCGGGAGCACGGTTCCGGAAGATTCCCGGGCGAGCGTGCCTCCGGCGGACCTCTCTCCTCCGCGGGAAGCACACGAGTCAACCTCCGCGGGAGCGATCGTGTTTCCTCCTCCTCCTGCTGGTTCTTTCCTGTCTCCTCCTGCAGATCCCTGTCTACCCGTCGCAGTGTCGAGTGCCGGCACTTGCTGTTGCCGCGGTTGCTTCGTCGGCAGCTGCCGCGGTCGTACGGCCGCCGTGCCGAATGTCAGCGTGTCGGAGGTGTCTCCCTCGCTGTCGCCGCGACTCTCCTGCTCCCGCCACCCTCGCCCCGCCGACTGCACGCCGCCGGCCTCGCGATTACCAACAGATGCTGACGCTGTCGGAGTCATTGCTGCTGCTGCTGCTGGTGATGCTGCTGGTGATGCTGCTGGTGTTATTAGTGCTGCTGCTGGTGTTATTAGTGCTGCTGCTGCTGATGATGATGACTTCCTCACACATGTCGACGCTGACTCGGCGGGGTCGTCGCCTAGTTCCGCTTGCTGATGCACGGTGCTGCCACCTGCTTGTGGCTGCTTGCAACCTCGGGAGTGAGAAGACACCGCTGACAAGCCAGAATCGAACCTGGATCCTTGATCGCGAGTGAGTGGATCTTGCACTGTGAGCACACGCTGGCCCCCTGCCGTGGTGGCGGCGGCGGCGGCAACGACGCGTGACGGTGCGTGATCTCCCCGGGCAGAACATGGCGCAACATTGTTGTCGAGGAACCTCACATCTCCGTAGCGCAGCGAGACCTGCGCCGCTTCGCCGGGGCACGTGCTGCCACCTGCCGGTAGTTTCGTCGGCGTGACGGACAGGTAGTGTTCGGACGTGTGGCCGGCGCGGTAAGGGCGGTCGTCCCTGCGTGCGGCGGGGAGGCCCTGTGAGGAGGAGGAGGCGGCGTGGGGTTCTGCTGGCAGCGAGTGGGGATCCATGACCCTGTACTGGTAGTCACGGAAACGCTGCTCGACCAGCTGCAGAGAGAAAGGGTGCACAAACGTGACCTCAACGCCCTTGAAACGTAGCCGATGTACAGTGTAATGACAGTGCTACTACGAACCAACTTGAGAGACACACTGCATATTTATAATGTCACTTAAAGGTCACAGTCGAACGTAAAGTCTACTGATTTAGTTAGTCTGCTAGAGAGGTTCTTTCAACAAGTATTATTTTCAGGAATACATACGAATATGTCTCTATTAGCCGAGTATACTTTCTGTGTGCAACTGAGATTTTAGTATAGGGTAGAATAAAGACAATCGCTTCGCCCATCTGTATTTTTCGATACCTCGTCGTCACCGGTCAGTGCCTGAAGTCGCTCCTTTGCCTCCTGTATGAACTGTAAGGAGCTGTCAGACGACAGGCTGTTGTCGTTGCCATCGCCGTCAGTGCCATCGTGCGTGGCGCCACCTATGTGTGCAGACGGTCCTCTGTTGGCCGGGCGATGAGATGGCATCTCAGAGTTGTAGAATCTGTGACGTGACGCCTGTGCTTCCGTGAGGTAGCTGTCAAGAAATGACACCCTGGGTGCCGTCCTGCATGGACAAGGAGCGAAATGCCACACACCGCGCATGTTACGCTGTTATCCTTATTAATCTAACATATATATATATCAGGGGCGTAGCCAGTATGTAGCACTGTAGGCCCGGGCCTACACTTTTTTTGGCCAAGTTATCTTTTTTTTTAAAACACCCATAATTCAAATCCATAAGCTTGCTGGACGAGTTTAAGAGTCTAGGCAGGAAAAACTATTGAAATGAACGTAGCAAGAATATGGCTAAATTAGGTGACCTATTCTTCTGTCATCTAGGCTGTCATTTCTATCGCGTGCCGTTTCATTCAACACTCTACCCGCCGAAAAAGACTAGGATCCGATCTTGTCAGTTTTTTTAACATTTTAACTCGTTCGTAACACTATTTTAACTCGTTTGTGTTTTTTGGGTTTAAAAGTGATATTGAATGAGGTGTCTCAAGTTAGCAAGAGGCCAGGGAACCAGAATGAACACTCGGGAAGGGCCGTTTCCGGCCATCTGGGGGGTTTGTAAAACCAAAAATTTTCTTGTACGCTCCGCGCCAACCGATGGTGGCGCTCCGCTCAGATAGTCGTGCCTACAACTTTGAAAATCCTGGCTACGCCCCTGTATATATATATATAACCACAGGTTCATTATTGATAGACAGAAGTTCATAATAGAAGTTTAATGACGTTTATAATACACTGTCTATTATGACCTTTGATATAACAACAATAACAGGCCACCTGTGTTAATTCTGCTACTGTATGAAATTTTGGTAACGATGGAATTTCCTTAATGCAACACTTCGATACAAACCTCTCGAACACGTGCTCTGCGGTGGGGGCGCCACCGCTCACGTTGGCGTCGCGATCGGTCACGATGGGGTCGCGATCGTTCACGATGGGGTCGCCACCTCTCACGGTGTTGTGTAGTGCAAGCTGCGTCTGCTGCAGCTGTGAGCGCAGGTCGTCTGCCTCGCGCGCGAGACGTCTCGCGTCGCGTGACTGCGCCTCGTATCTCTTGATCAGCTCCTTGCTTCTGTTCAGCTGCGAGAAAGCGTGACAACGTGAGCCCTTGTCACATTGCAGCGGTGACACTGCGAGTGTGTCAACTTCACAGTACCTACATATACTCTCTCTGTGAAAACCGATACACTGCCCAATGTACTGTAATAAAGTTAATTAAAGTAACGAGAAACTAATGTAATATTGTGCACTCGTGGAAGAAATGGCCATTGCTGTTATTATTATTATTATTATTATTATTATTATTATTATTATTATTATTAATATCATTATTATTATTTATTGGCGTGGCATAGCATATGTCGTTGCCGTGATTCTGTTGCCGTGTATACCTCCTCCTGTAGTCTGGAGTCGCCCTGCTGCTGCTGGTACTGCAGCAGAGCTAGCTGCTGTCTGTGCTCGGCCCGCGCTCGCTCCAGCTCCCGCTGCATCATCACTGCATCCGACGATGGCTTCGTTAGCTTCTCCGTCAGTTCCTTCACGACCCGGCCGTGATCTGTGTGCGGGCGGAGAGGGGTAGAGGGGCAAGTTAGAGATCTCTGTGGTGGAGAGGGGAGGTTAGAGATTTCTATGGCGGAGAGGGGGAGGTTAGAGATTTCTATGGCGGAGAGGGGGAGAAGCTTACTTAGGGATTTTTTATGGGGGAGGGGAAGATTAGATATATGTCGGGGAGAAGGTTAGATATCCATGCGGGGGAGGGATAGAGAAGGTTAGAGGTCTGTGCTGCAGAGGGGAGAGAAGGTTAGAGGAAGGTTACAGAAATATGACGGGCAATGATGGAGAAGCATGAAGATATCCAAGCAGGGGAGGGGGAGAGGGCCCTTCTATCATCCCAAATAATCACAGATGAATAACTAGACACCAACTATCCTAGCAGCCAAATCCATAGAAAGCAAACCCAGGGGAAACCACACCCAGTAGTGCTGACCCAAGCCTCTTGTTCGAAAACGTTCCTCAGACTGTCACTTCATGCTCATTCTCGCAGTTTCCGCAAAACAAAAAAATTGTTAGAGAACTCACCAGTTTTCTCGAGCTCGCGATATGACTGCTCTTCTGCCAGCTTCCTACCAAAATCATGAAAAATATGGGTACATACGACTGTCAGATGCGAAGCCTCATCAATTTATTATTTTATAAACGATGAATTAATTTTCATGTTAAACCTTTTATGTTTCAGTTAATTATAATGTATTCGTAAATTAATTTGTAGACCTGTAGATTTGTATCATGATTTTGTGGTGTGCTCGATTCGTGTGGTGATGGAGTATAGACTGACGCTACATACGTCTTTAGATGTTCTATTTCGTTCTTCAGTACAGCATTCTCCAGTCTAACTTGCTTGTAATCCATCATCTGTGAACGGGACAGGCAATAGTCGTCACACAGGGCGATACCATGACGGCATTAAAAGTTTACACACTCATTGAAAGTGGAATCGCCGTGTTTATGCATACTTGCTTTTTAAATAAAAAAAAATTCTCATTTTATAACTTGCTTCTTTCAAACAATATCATATGAACATTTGTTAGTACTAGTATACAAAACGAGGTAATTCGTTATAGCACGAAGTTAATGCATAGTAAGGAATAAGTGGAAAGTCACGCCTCTCTACCTCTCTGACTTTGTCACCTAGAGCCTCACTGGTTTTGGAAGCAGTCAGCATCTCTGACTTCGCTTCATACAGCTGCATCTGAAATCACGCATTTAAAAACATGTAAAACAAGAGCAATCGGAGATAGCAAACCTCCGCCACAGCGTAACAGTCCCCCCATCTTGCTGGTACACCCAATATAGTTTGATGAAATTTTCAGAAATTTGAAAAAAAAATCCAGGATTTTTTTTTAATGAATTTTAAATGCGTCCGACGTCTTCCCCTCAAAAAAAAATCCTGGATCCAGATCACAACCAAAATCTAATCGATTGGTTCTTGGCCCAAGACCAACCCGTCCAAAAAATTTAATCAAAATCCGTCTTGTAACTTTTTGAGATCCTGTTGACAGACAAACCAACCAACAAACCAACCAACGAACAAACCACCAAACAAACAAACTAACAGAAGAGAAAACATAAGGGCGGAGGTAACAAATCACAGCTATTACTCACATAGATTCTCTCATTTATCTGCTCACGAGATCACGAGATCGATATAAAATTCCAATGTAAACGTGAAAGCAAGAGTACACGATAAGGAGTTTATTTATTAATATCGACTATGAAATCTTGCAGAAAGGAGAGCTTACTTCGAGCTGGGCTATCCGCTCGCTCAGCTCTCTCACTTCCTCCTTAGCTCGCCTGAGTTCATCCTCATCTGCCTTGACCCGTCTCGCGTCCTCTGAAAAATTCACACGCAGTCACCCTGTACACACTGAGATAGAGCTCTGAGTTAAACCTTAGTCTTACACTGATTGAATTTGCTACGCCGCTTACATGCCAGTTTAGTGGAAACTAATAGGGGTATGGGGTAAATGGGGTAAGATGGGTAGGGTAGTCTAGATTGTAATAGGGAAAATCACTCACTCACCCCTGTGCATTTTCACTCCACTTCTAAGAGGAGTCTATCCTCCTCCCCTCCCCTGTTTAGGAGTATTCCATCTTTGCTTTACCCGTTCGGGGGGGGGGCATTTCCTTCCTCACTGTCTTCTGTGATGTCTTCTCTGATTCCCGCCTCCCCCATAAAGGAACCCTCTTACCTTATTCTTAAGAGGGACCATCATGCTTACGCATAACCCTTCTCATTCTCACCTCACGAGGTGGAACACCTCCCAGAACGCTCACCAATGATCCTCCCTCCTCATTCTCCCTTCATAAAAGAGGAAACCATCCCAGCACGCTCACCTCTTACCCTCCCTCCTCATTCTCCCTTCATGAGAGAGAAAACCCTCCCAGCACGCTCACCTCTTACCCTCCCTCCTCATTCTCCCTTCATAAGAGAGAAACCCCTCCCAGCACGCTCACCTCTTACCCTCCCTCCTCATTCTCCCTTCATAAGAGAGGAAACCCTCCCAGCACGCTCACCTCTTACCCTCCCTCCTCATTCTCCCTTCATAAGAGAGGAAACCCTCCCAGCACGCTCACCTCTTACCTTCCCTCCTCATTCTCCCTTCATAAAAGAGGTAACCCTTCCCAGTTCGCTCACCAATGACTGTCTTTCTCTCCTCAATCTCCCTTCATGAGAGAGGAAACCCTCCCAGCACGCTCACCTCTTACCCTCCCTCCTCATTCACCCTTCACAAAAGAGGAAACCCTCCCAGAACGCTCATCAACGATTGTCTCTCTCTCTCCTCATTCTTCCTTCATGAGAGAGCAAACCCTGCAAGCACGCTCACCTCTAGCCCTCCCTCCTCATTCTCTCCTCACAAGAGAGGAAACCCTCCAAGCACGCTTACCTCTAGCCCCCCCTCCCTCCTCATTCTCTCCTCACAAGAGAGCAAACCCTCCTAGCATGCTTACCAATGAGTCTCCCTCCTCAATCTCTCCTCATGAGAGAGGAAACCTTAGCACACTCACCACTGACCCTCCCTCCTATTTCCCCCTTCATGAGAGAGGTAAACCTCCCAGCGTGCTCACCTTTGACCCGGGCCTCTGACGCCTCCAGTGTGCACGTTCTATCGGCGTACTTCTGCTGCTGCTCCTGCTTGTAGCCGAGCTTCCATTGTTCCAGCCTCTGCGCCAGCTGCAGCTGTGCCTTGTCGTTAGACAGCGCCCTCTGGTGCAGCTGCTCCTCCCACGATTTCAACTTGTCCTTCTCAAGCGCAATCTCCCTGCAGACGAGAAGGATTTATTTATGTATTCATGTATGTATTTATGTATTTATGTATTTATGTATTTATGTATGAATAAATTTATTTATTTATTAATTAATTTATCAATTTATTTATTTACTTGCTTATTTGAGTATTTATTTATTTGTTTATGCGTTTGTTTGTTTATTCACTTATCTTAGATTTCAACATGCTAGTAACGAACGCGACATGAAGCCGTGACAAGCATGGTAACCCGCGAAAACCCGTGAAACCCCGCGAAAACCCGTGAAACCCGCGAAAACCCGTGAAACCCGCGAAAACCCGTGAAACCCCGCGAGAAACAGCGAAATAAACCATTAACGATGCTGCTGGTGTAACAACGATGCTGTGTTTAGCCACCAATGACTGGTTGGCAATCAGGATAAATGCACGCGACACAGGAGCATTCTTTCGCAAGCTGGGCGATTAAATGCGCGAAAGGATCTAGGTCCTGCCTGCCTGCCTGCCTGCCTGCACGACAAAGGTAATATTGAGACGGTGAAATTACCACGTACGCGGCGTGGTGGCTAATGAGACAGATTATCGGTGAACAGGGCTTAATGTGGCTGTTGGAACAACAATGACACGAGCCATACAGACATCAGGCGCATCGAGGATGTTTTGCTAACGAGATGCAAGTCTCAGTCAAGCGGGAAAAAAATTCTTCACGCGCACGCACACATGTACACGTATGCACACATACACGCGCACGCACGCACACACGCCCCCCTCCCCTCCACACACACACACGTACGCACGCAAACATGTATATACGTACGCACGTGATATATACTATACCGCCTCTCCCTCTCTCTCCTCTCTCGCTTCTCTCTCTCTCTCCTCTCGTTCTCTCTCTTCTCTCTCTCTCGTCTCTCTCTCACTATATATATAATATAATATATAATATACATATATTCGACTCACCTAGTTCTCCTCTCTCACCTCCTCTTCACCATCTCTCGCTCCTCTCTCTCCTCTCGTATCTACTCTTTTCTCTTTTTCGTTCTCTTTCTCTCTGCCCTCCATCTTTCTCTATTTCTTTCTCTCTTGCTCTGTCTTTCTCTCTCCTTGTCTCGCCCCCACTCTCCCTCACCCATTTCTCTCGTTCTCTGAATGCAATAATTCGAATAATTACGGAGCACAAATAAAGTTTACTACCGATTAATTATAGCAAACAGTTCGTCTGCATCAATTTTCATTCTTTGTGACAACGAGTGGACTGTTGTTACATCGACAACACATAGCAGCAATCTTCGCGGACAAACGTAAAGATGGGCAGATTGTTGATGACGATCATTAGATAGAGATAATATTGTCCTCTCTGCATTGCATAACATGATGAAGAAGAAAGAATCGAGAACTATGGCGATGTGATCTGTCTACAGCGAACGTCAATGCATGTTCATCGTAACATTTATTTCTAAGGATGAAGACGTATCAAGGCTTGTATCGTATGGCTCGAAGACGTATCGTAGAACATACTCAACAGCAATTATTATTCGTATACTATTTAGTAATTCTCCACCCCACCCATCGCGCTATATGCTAACATACACATAATAAAATAAGAACATGTTTATGTAGTGTATGTATTAACACCACATACACGAGTATGAATACGTACGGTTAGGTGTAAGTATATGTGCATATGCGATAATGTATATCTAACAATACACTTGATCAATGTGCGCAAGCTCAGTGACGTGTGCTGTATTCGTGTATGACCGTGCGTGTATTGCGTGGCGTATATGCGTGCGTATGCGGCTGTAGCGTGTGACGAAACTTCAGCAACTCTTCTGTCACAGCTGCCTAAATCTTCACCAAACCAACACAGATAGACACTCCACAAAACAAGACAGCGCGCAGGGATGCACGCACGCACGTACGTATGCGGACCACACGCACACGCACACCACTACGCACACGCACACCAACACGCACACGCCACGCACACGCACACGGTACACGCACACGTACACGCCAGCACGCACAACGCAACACAACACACACGCATGTTTGGACACACACTATCCACACGAGTAACTATCAACGTAGCAAGCACCTCCCCCGTGTATCATCCACCGGCCCCCGAAGAAGTGAGAGGTAGCTGGGACTCTCCTCCCCTTTCCACACCCGACACCCCCCACCGACGCCCGCTTCCACATAATCACATCGGTGCCACTGATAATCAGCGATCAGATGAAGTATGACGTTGCTCGCGTTTCCGACCACCAGGCCATGAAATAACGACTGCGAATCGCGAACGTAGCTACGCGTCAGCAGTCAGCACTACAGCACACAGGAAGAAAGGCACAGCAGTAGCAACATACCAACAGCAGCAGAACCAGCAACAGCAATAGCTATATTACAGCAGCAACAGGCTTACACGGACAACACAACAGCAGCAGCAGCAGCACAGACAGCACAGACAGCAGTAGCGAACACACAGTAGTCACAGTACATACAAGCACACAAAGCAGCAGAAATCACGAAGCAGTCAGCAGCATACCAATAGCAACAGTAGGCCAGTAAAGCACATCAGCAGTACACTCCATCATCATCATCATCAGCAGCAGCCACAGCAGTAGCATCAGTAGCAAGAAGCACATCAGTACATCCAGTAGCAACCGCAGCAGCAGTAGCAGCAACATCCATGTCGCATACAAAGCCGCGATACACGCAGGCGCGCCGAAAATCCGGCATAACTACGGCAGACGATGACATGAGCGAGCGCGCAAACACGGGCAAGCACGCACAAACACGTCACTCCTCACGACAAACACGCACGCCGTCCCCGTCACTGCATCACTCACACGCGAGGAACAGCGTTTTAACAAGGAAATTTGATAATTACGGAGCTGAAGGCCGGGAAAAATATATATATATAGCTATGGTTATGGTTCTGGTAGGGTTAGGGTTAGAGTTTATCGTTAGTAGTAGGGTTAGGGTAAGCGTTTAGGGATACAGTTGAAATTGGGTTGGGTTTAAGGTCAGGGCCACCAATTTTATGGTTTTTAGGGTTAGAAACATGCAGCGATATAGCGTGAATTTTCGTACCCGCCGTATCTTCCCCGCTGCCTTCATCTCTCTTCTCTGATACTACTACTGCTACTACTACTGCTACTGCTACTGCTACTGCTACTGCAATAGGACTGCTGCTGGGCTGCTGCTACGCACTGTGCTCGCACCCTACTATGCTGCTTCGCTGGTAGTGGTGGTGTATAACTAACTAAACCCTTACACTCTCCCCCCACCACGGCACCACGCAACGCACGCACACAACACGCAACGCCCACCACGCGACGCACGCACGCACGCAGAACGCCACGCACGCACAACACACGCACACAGGCACACACACCGCACAGTGCACACACACACACCACACACACAACACAAACATGTTCCAACCTGACGGCAATCTCCTTCACCTGCTGAGTAACCCGTGTTGATTACTTGTCGGACACATCTCAGTGTTCAGGCGAGAATAAACCCCCCTGTCGGCACGCATTCACGTTCTGCACGTGTGTAAATGACCACGCGTCGGTGGATACACATAGAGAGGCACGGGGACGACACGCCTGGCGATACTATGTGTTCCAAATTTGCTCAAATTTCGGCGCTTTTCTCAAAACCGTTTCCGGTTTATACGATCGTGCGTAATTACGTGTGTGTGCGCGCGCCTGCGTGTGCGCGTGCACGTGTGTGCGCCTTGAAAGAGGATACCGAGGTGTGACCGCGTGCTTCCGAAGGGTCGTCGCAAAAGTCAACACTTGTAGATACGTAAACGACCAATACGTAGCGCAAATACAGCTCGAATTGCATCACGCTGACCTAGTTTTTTTCCCAGTGCATAGGTTTTGCGACACTAATTTGGCTTTTCACGTGCACCACGGTCAAGCATTCATGAACAAACTCTGACTAAAACGAACTAAACTATTACGGCAAACAAACACAAGCTTAAATTTAAACTCAACCCCGCTACTCTAGCGTAGTCTACGCGGTTTATTCAGTTATAACCTTTGAAAATAAATGTGAAAATACCCTGCGAACCAGGCATAATGGAACCAGATACCAAGATACCAACGTGAAACCCAGCCCAGCGTGAGAATGTTTGCATATCCAACAAAGAACCCAACCACACCATCGTAAAAAAAGATTATATGCGATACAAGTACGTCGTAAGACGCAATATGTGACGCAAGTAAGTAAGACGCAATATAAGTAAGACGCAATGTGTGCTGACGGTCTTTCACCTGGGTACATACAATAAGAGTACACGCAATAACACCACGGCGAAAAATTCTGACTACATTACCATTATCGCTATTTTAACTCCTACACATTCACGCGGATAATTAATCGCACCTGTATATATATATATCGTCAGCGACACGTGAGTAATACACCACGTGAACGCCCGTAAAGAAGCGCAATTCGTGAATCACCTGTACGGAGATGTAGGTGAACGATGCATGCCGCCTCCGCCGCTCTAACACAGACGTGGGTCATACATAGCCAGTCATCCCGCTACGCGCCTGCCTGCTTCGCTAACAACGGAACCTGTAGCCTCCCACCACCCCCTGTATTTCATATATGTCACGTACAACTGAGAACAGGCTAGAGATGCAGGCACCGACGATTATTTGGCGGCAATGATGCACACATCTAGGCGGTCATTTCGCTGCGGATAATGCTAGCAGTGTTTCCCATCAATCCAGCCGTTGCTCGGGGCTGCGATGCTGATCGCGTGCATTCTGGGGATGGTGGTTTTATTGGGGTACGTAACTGTCGTAATTTTCGCTCACCGGTTTCATGCTTTACGCACGATGGGGTTTTTTCAGCTGTTATATGTGCTATGTCGATTAAGGATGGTTGAATGCGCCTCGCACGCGTCCGTTCAACGAGCGAAAGAGAACGTTTTGTGTATATTTTGCGAGTGATGAATCTGAGGATGGCGTAACCGATTCATCGTGAGG